GGGAAGTCTGCCTTTGTCCATTGCCATTTAAAATTATCTATAAAACTGTCTAACCCAAGTGCTCTTTATAAGATGTATGTCCTTAAAAACTCTAATTCTTCCTGACAACACTTGAAAAGAGCAGGAAAGTTTCAGAAACACCAAGATACTGAAATTAAAATACAGCTAAAAAGTATAATATTGGTAAAGAACTGAAAAAAAAAAAAGAACATGAACAGGACAGCTGGTGGTGATTTCTTGCGAGTACTTTACAAAATAAATACCTCACTGCCTTGTGATTTTGACGCCAATCAATAGACTGTAAAGTAGTCTCAGGAGCTCTCAAGTCTTCGTTTGTGCCTTAACAACAGCCAGCGTTCGTTGGCCATGAATGTATTTTATAGCTACATGGCCATTTCACTCACGTCTCCTCTGAAGATCAATTAGACGTCTGGGCACTCAATCAAAATGACCAATTAGCTGACCCAGACCTGAGAAGCTACTCCCAACTATTTCCCTCCAAGACCAGCTAGGGCCACAATGGATTACTCGTGCACCCAGCATGCCTCCTTACTGGAAATTACTTTCACATGAGTCCTGTCATAGGCTGTGCCACAGTGGGTCCAGTCTCAGGACTGTCATTCTCATCTGTTATAGAAGGAATGAAATATTTTCACAAAGTCAAAAACAGTGTGGAGGTCAGAGGGCAACCAGGCTCTGGGGTCAAAGAGACCTCAGTGGGAACCTTGCTTCAGCCCTTCCTAACTTGGGGTGTTTCAGTAAGTTAGTAAAAACGTTTGAGTCTTAATTGCAGTTATCAAATGGAAACACCAGGCCCCTGGGCAGGGCTGTTGAGAGAACTAAATTAGATAACACATATAAATAGAAGGCTCAGCACAGTGCTTGGGCCATGATAAACACCCAATAAATAATGGGCCTTACAAAGAAACCTTAAGAACCTATCCTAGGGTGTCATCTAACGTTCAAATTCCAATTGATGTTGTAAACCATCTAAAGGAAAAGACAAATCCAACAACGGTTTTCTTTAAGATACTTGGCCTCATTATCCTTCCCCTCAGTGCTTTTCAGGTCCTGACCTGCTAACGGGATGGGAAGTCAGTCAGCGGATATCACCTAGGCATTTTAAATAGAAAACATTAAGAACTGAGGCAGGCATGGTGGCGCAGCAGGTGAAGCTGCCAACCGGGACGCCCACATCGCACAGCGGGGTGCCCACTCCAGCCCCGGCTTCCTGCGGATGCGCCTCGGAAGGCAGCCGCCGGCCCAAGGGCTTGGGTCCCTGCCACCCACCTGGGAGATCTGGCTGAAGCTCCAGGCTCTGACCTGGCCCAGGCCTGGCCTGTTACAGGCATTTGGGGAGAGAACCTGCAGATGAAGTTCTCTTTGTCACCCTGCCTTTCAAGTAGATGAAAATAAACATTTCTTAAAGTAGAATGAAAAATGTAAACCAAAGCGTTACTTCACGTATGTTTTTACGTACATGTATTTATAACATGTCTGTACACTGGGTGGCAATGTAAAACACATTTCTTGAAGTAAAGAGTTTAAAAGCCACTGCTTTGGCCGGGGCTCACTAGGCTAATCCTCCACCTGCAGGGCCGGTACCTGGGTTCTAGTCCTGGTTGGGGCACTGGTTCTTTCCCGGTTGCCCCTCTTCCAGGCCAGCTCTCTGCTGTGGCCCTGGAAGGCAGTGGAGGATGGCCCAAGTGCTTGGGCCCTGTACCCCATGGGAGACCAGGAGAAGCACCTGGCTCCTGCCTTCGGATCGGCGCAGTGCACCGGCTGTAGCGGCCATTTTGGGGGGTGAACCAATGGAAGGAAGACCTTTCTCTCTGTCTCTCTCATACTGTCTAACTCTGCCTGTCAAAAAAATAAATAAATAAATAAAGCCACTGCTTTATATCGTTACAAGAATAAAAATTGGCTCACCCAAAGTATTTGCTTTGTGCTAGACACTGTACTGAACATATACAGACATTACTTCATTCAGTCCTCACAAGAGCCATGTGCAGCAAATACTATCACTTGACCCATTTTACAAATGAGGAAGCAGCCGTATTATAAATCCCTTGTCAAGAATTAAGAGGTAAACGGGAAGCAAAGGTCTATACCTGGTAAAGCTGGGGTTCAAATTCAGTCTCCTGACTCTACCACTTGCACATTTAAACATTTAAATACTCTGGTTGTAAAAGATAAATTCTTCTTATGTAAAAGTTACCCAAAAGGAGGGCACAGCAGGTTAAGCCACCACTTGCAATGCTGGCTGAGTCCCCGCTGCTCTGCTTCCAACCTGGCTCCCTGGGAAAGCAGCGGAGGACCACGGCCCCAAGTACTTGGGCCCCCGCCGCCCACGTGGAAGATCTGTAAGGAGTTCCAGGCTCCTGTCTTCAGCTGGGGCTTTGCAGCCATTCTTAAAATTTATTTTGCTTAATTGAAAGTAAGAGTGATACAGAGAGAAGAAGAGACAGACGGAGAGATCTTCCATCTGCTGGTTCACTCCCCAAGTGGCAGCAACTGCCAGGACTGAGCCAGGAGCTTCTTCCGGGTCTCCCACGTGGGTGCAGGGGCCCAAGCACTTGGGCCATCTTCTGCTGCTCTCCCAGGCCATAGCAGAGAGCTGGATCGGAAGTGGAGCAGCCGGGACTCGAACCAGCACCCATACGGGATGGTGGCATCACAGGCAGTGGCTTAATCTGCCACGCCACAACGCAGGGCCCCATAAAATCAATCTTAAAAAATAAAAGGTATGCAAATGGAAGACTTTTTTGTGAGGTTGCATTGGAGTGTGATTTTCTGGGGGTGCAGTACGGCACGGAGAAGGCTGTGTGATTGAGAGGCGGGTGCTCTAAGGTGAGATCCGGCTTCGGGCCCTGATAACGTCGCTTTAGTAGCATGGAGCTGGCCAGCCACTTCATCTCGCCCTGTGTGGACTTCCTCACCTACAAAACCGGAATGCCAGCATCTGCCCTGGCTCCCCACAGGCCACGGTGAGGAAGTACAGCGAGCGAACCGTTCTAGGCAACTTCTCAGAGCTGAAACCGCCCTGGACGCCCCGTTCCTCAGATGCCGTAGAAAGAGGAACGGTGTGCACAGAACACCCTGCGGCAGGCCCACGGACCACATTCACCGAGCTCTAAGAAGCGACCCAGTTCCACCTGGACCAACACGTTTCCTCCATGTGCAATGCATTTTTCACCAAGTAGCTCTTTCTGCCAACTACTTAGTGAGCACCACCATGCGCCAGATTAGAAATGTGGACCACAAAAAAAAAAAAAAAGGAGACAAAGGGAGACAAAGGGAGACAAAGGGTCTAACTAAAACCCACCCCTGGCCCTGGAGAAGCCCATGTCAATTTCAAGTAAAGTTCCAAAAGTGTGTAACAGACAACTGTACAATGGCCTCCCTCCATGTGCTGTGCTGCTCTGCCAACAATGGTGTGGCAGCTTCTGGTTCTTAGACAAGGGGCCCTAGCTCTGTAAGTACCGCCGCATCTCTAAGGCAAAAGTTCCCAATTTATTACCGGTGACGGCAAAAACAGGCTTTGGAATAAAACTCACTTTCAGTCACCGATAGTGAGAAGGCGTCTTCTAGTGGCATGATTTTTCCCCCCGCACATTTGAGCTGAAATCATCTACAATGCAACCACACCAGCTCCGTAAGACGCATCTTGCAAAAGGGTTCTTTCTAAAAACTGACCCCGATTGCTTTTTTCCCTTTTTCAGGCAGTTTTCTCTTGAACACACTGAGCTAGGATCCCCTCCCTTCTCCCCAAGGAATGAAGCAGACAGCAGAGAAGGTGTGTTCCCTTTGTTGACTTTTTAAAAAAAATTACTCCAAACTGATTGCATCCAAAGTCACAAACAATGACAGACAACTGCTGGCCATCTTGCATACAATCCAGCAACTACTCCAGGTGATTCTTACGGGCTCGCATGGACTTCCCTGCCAACTTAATGAATCCAACATTCGCCACAGGACTTCGATTAAAAGAAGCTTTCATTGCAACTGCCTGATCCTTTGTATGCGAACCACTCCCTCGCCCTCACCGCGCCCCCAGCCGCGCCCCAACACCGAATCACTTCCCCGGCCATTATTCCTAAAACCCTATTAGGATTTCACAGCACTGGACACACACCCCCCCCCCCGCCCCGCGCCCCGGCTCCGAGGTTCCCCCCCAGGCCACCCCCACCCCCAATTCCCGCACTGAAGCAACGTGGCTCGCAATGAGCGTTTTCTCCAGAAATCCAGAATTCTGCAGAGGACCACGCCGCCGCTATGCTGAGAGCACCCAGCTCATCTCCACGCCTGACAACCGCCGCCAACAACAGCCACAGCCCATGCAGCGCAGCCGGAGGGTGAGGCGGTCCCACCTCGCCGCTGCGGAGCCGGGCGAGCAGGGCTGGCCAGCGCCGCACGCAGCCCCGGACCCGAGACGCGAACGCCTCAGACCCGGCGGGCGGCGGCGGCCCCGGCACCCCGGGCAGCCGGGGAAACCTTTGTCTCGCCCCCGGCAGCAAACCCGCGGCGCATCCCAAGCGGGGCGGCGAGAGTTTGCGCGCATCGGTTCGGCCGCGGTTAAACAAAGCAGCGCAGCGCGTGAAAGGAGACGCCGAGCCAGGGTCAGCGCCCGAGACCCCGGGGCGAGGCTGGCGACCGCGGTGGGATGCGGCGGCGCGGGAGAGCAGCCAGGAGCCGGAGGTCCCACGCTCCCGGCAAGTTCTCGGGCGCAGCTCTCCGCCAGGTGCCCCCGCGCGGGCACCCAGACCGCGCACGCCGCGCGCAGGTGGCTCGCGAGGGAGGGTCCGCGCCCCCACGCGCGCGGGCGCCGCCCCAAGTCCACGGGGCAGCAGTGCCGCGCCCATGCCCACCCCACCCCCCACCCCCGGAGCCGGGGCTCGGGAGTCCCAGGCGCCGCGGGGACCCGGTTCCGAGGGGCGCGCGTGGAGCCGAGCGCCCGCCCGCTGCCCCATTGTCTGGCCGCGGGCCGGGAAGGCGCTCACCTGAGCTCTCCGCCGGGTGCCGGGAGTGCGGAGCGGGCGGCCGGCGGCGGGCGCGGACGCAGCGGCGCGGCCAGCGGCGGGCTCCGGCGGGGCAGCGGCAGCGGCAGCGGCAGCCAGCAGCGCACCCGCCCCTCAGGCGGCCGCGGCCTCCATTGCTCTCCCCGCCGCCGCCGCCGCGCGGCACTGCGCGCCCGGCCCCGCGCGGCGTGGTCACATGCTCCGCCCGCGCCTCGGGCGCTCGGACCCGCGCCGCGGCCCCGCCCGGCTTTGCACGAGGCGCCCGGTACCCCCTCCGGCGCGCGCCCAGAAGGCGGGCGGCGGCCCCGGGAAGGGGCGCGGGGTCCCTCAGAGCCCGCCGCGCGCCCGCAGGGGACCTCCTGAGCGCGATCAGACCCGGCCCGGGCACCTGCGGGAGCGCCCGGGAGCCCGGAGCGGGCTGGCCGCGAGGCGTCCCCAGCCGTGGGAAAGGGCCTGGGACTCCGAGAGGGGACAGGTGGGACAGGTCGCCCGCAGGTAGCGGGGCCAGAACTCGCGCTGCCCGGGCACAGGACGGTGCCACTGGCCCTGGGCATTGTTATGGCCCCAGCCACAACGCGATTAGAGACCGACTTGATGTTTTAAGAAAAAGAATTACCTCTTTGGTGGGCCTCACTGGAAACACTAAGCCTTGTTTTCCCGTCCTCTCTGGTGAGCAGCTCCATGGAGCTATTGGAAATGACGTCTGGTGATATTTCAGTTGCTAAGCGTGCAAAGGTGCTTTAAAGAAAATAGTACCATCATAAAATAAGAAATCTAAAACAAACCAGCAAATCCTCTCTGGCAAAAGATGAAAGGTGACCTTAACACGTACCCGATATCAAATTAGGTGTTCCGGTGCCCAGAGCAGGACTGGTCATTTTAACACACGTGCGTGATTTGGAGGGAGCAACTTTGATACTAAGAGAATCGCAGAACACCTGGGTTTTTCTAAATATTTTAATTAACAGCACAAAATATGATTTTATATTTGTGTATATGATTGTATGTATGTGACTGTAAATATTCAGTTGTGTGGTGTCTACATATCCTAAAGTGTCTGCTTTTATTCCTAATAAGAATGAGTTTTTAAAAGGATTGAGCGCGTTCCCTTTGACTTGATCAAGTAGCACCAGAAGTTTCCAGAAGCCAAAATCCAAATCTGTGCAGAATGTATAACTGGGCCAAAAAGAGAAAAATTGAGATGCACTCCTAGGTGTTTTTTTTTTTTTTAATATGCATTTTCCATGAACTTTGTAAAGGCCCCTTTGTGTGATCACCTTTCCTGGGTGCTCACCTGCCGTCAGTACTTGGGAAAGGAGACCAGGCGGCACTAGAGGACGGCCGTAACCTTCCAGAATCAGGAATAGTGCGGTGTCAGAGCTCCAGTGGGTGCTGCAGCAGCCTTGACCTCACAGCAAGAAAGCCCGTTATCAGTTACCATTTCTAAGTTCCCGCTGGCCCGGCTGCAGCTCGGTGGCACCCTCCCGGCCACTGGAGCAGGTGGGCCGGGTGAGTGTTCCAGTGCAAGGGGGACCAGGAGAGCTTGTCTAAGTGGCTCCAGGGCTGTGATGGGACTCCAACCCACAGCACTGACTTCGTGTCCCAAGCTGGGGTCCCTCCATGGATAATCCACTCCACTTCACACGTTTCCCCCATTCTGTAACACATGATAACTATTCAATTTCACGTGTCCTACTTCTAAATGAAGAAGTAATGATCATGTCTGAAAGTAGAACTATACTATGCAATGCTAACAAAGGAAAACACATGCGGAGCGGGGCAGGATCCATTTAGCCTAGCAGTTCACCTGGTTAAGATAACCACAGTCCACATCCGGCTCCAGGTCCTGACTCCAGCTTCCTACCCGTGCAGACGCTGGGAGGCAGTGGGGATGGCTCAAATAACTGAGCTCCTGCCTCCCACATGGGAGACCTGGGAGTGAGCTCCTGGCTCCTGTCTTCACCTCGCCCTGGTCCCTGCCAAGCCGTGGCAGTCGTGGACATTTGAGGAGGGAACTAGCCAATGGGAATGTGCTGGCTCCCTCTCTCACACTTCCAAAGGGAGGGCGCGGGAGGGGGAGGGAGAGAGAATATAGGGGGAGGGGAAGGAGAGAGGGAGGGAGTGAAAGAGAAAGAGCTCCTGTCCACTATTGGGCAGTTAGTGGGTTCTAATTCCTAACTAACTCCCGTTTCCTTCTAATGCAGATTCTGGGAGGCGGAGTTGATGGCTCAAGTAATTGGAGTCCTGCTAGCCACGTTTAAGACCTGGCTTGTGCTTCTAGCTTCTGATTACAGCCCAGCCCAGCCCAGCCACAGCCATTGGGAGCATTTAGGGAGAGAACTAGCAGAATGGGATGATGGCTCTCTCTGTTCTCGCTTTGCCCACACTGACTCTCAATTTTATTTACTTGAAAGGCAGAGTTACAGAGAGAGATATCTTCCTTCTGCTGGTTTACTCCCCAAATGGCAGCAAAGGCCAGAAGTTTCTTCCGGCGCCCAAGCACTTGAGCTATCCTCCGCTGCTTTTCCCAGGCGCGTTAGCAGGGAGCGGGATCTGAAGTGGAGCAGCCGGGACGTGAACCAGCACCCAGAGAGAACGCCAGCACTGCAGGCGACAACTTAAGCTGCTGTGCCACACCGCCAGTCACAGGGGGAGACTTTTTATTTTTTCCTGGAATTGATGTATAAAGCAGATGATTTTACAGAGAATCAACAGACTTGATCTAAAAGATGTCAAGAAATGTGTACCCCATGAACAGAAAATATGCATTGCATTGGAAATAGTCACAAAAATCAACCAAATTTTAGGTCAAACAAGAATAAACTTCAAGAATCAAAGTCCATATAGACCACATACTTGGATCAACTTCAGTGAATTAGAAATCTGTAACAAAATCCTAGCTACATGGAAAATTTTAAACTTCCTTTAAAATAACTCTTGTGTAAGAGTGACAAAACTTACCATTTCTCCTAGGACAAAGGTGGTTTACATGTAGGGTGCTAACATTACATAGCTAGATATCTTGTTCTCAAAAGTATCCTAGTTTGGATGATAATTTTTTTCTTTTTGTTATTCAATTATTTTTTGATTGAAAGAGGGATAGAAAGGTCTTCCATCTGCTGGTCACTCCTCAAATGGCCACAATGACTGAAACTAGGCCAATCCGAAGCCAGGAGCCAGGAGCTTCCTCTGGGTCACCTTGATCTAGTAACACTAGAAGTTTCCAGAAGCCAAAATCCAAATCCGTGCAGAATGTGTAACTGGTCCCCCCCAAAAATTGAAATGCACACCTAGGTTTTTTTTTAAATATGCATTTTCCATGAATTTTGTAAAGGCCCCTTTGTGTGATCCACTTTTCCTGGGTGCTCACCTGGTGCAGGGGCCCAAGGACTTGAGCCATCTTCTACTGCTTTCCCAGGCCATAGCAGAGAGCTGGATCAGAAGAGGAGCAGCCGGGACTCGAACCAGTGTCCTTGTGGGATGCCCATGCCACAGGAGGAGGATTAGTCTACTAATAGTACTACTACTACTACTACTACTACTAGCTGGCCCCTAGGTGATAATTTTTTATAGTAAATAATCCAGAACTGAAGTTGGACTTTATTCAGAATGTAAGGACAAAACATAAAGAAAAAAATTGTGGGTTATAAGACCAGAAAATTCTTAAATTTTGTAGCCCATAATGCATACATTAGAACATAAGATTGAAAATAAACTAAGCATATAACTCCAGAATGAAAATAAACAGCAACAAAAAAAAGATGAAGAAATGAAAGCAGGAGTTAATGAAATAAAAACCACGCCAAACAGATTTAACCAATAAAGCATTTATTCTTAGAGAAAGAAAATAATATTGACTAGGCTCTAGCCCATCAGCTAAGAGACACAAAAAGTAAACATTTCACATTCAAAGAAATGACGAAGGCAGAGTTTTTTAAATGTAGCTGAAACAGAAGATTCCCACCTGCCCACCCCCCCAAAAAAAACCACAGAAACAAAGCTGGGTTGGGGAGGGGGAGAATGGCTGACTTGTCGAAGGAACTGAAAAGATAATCAGATATTTTCCTCTAGAAATGACACCTGCTGGGGAGGCGCTGCCTTCTCCCTTGTGCCCTTGACTCTCTCCTTCCTTCTCTTTCCTGATGTCAGGGAAGGCCTGCCACTTGTCACCAAGGACACACACAGGCTCTCTCTCTTTCACTCTCCCCAGCCCCCCATATTCTCCCTCCCTCCCTCCCTTTGTTTGGAAGTGTGAGAGAGCAAGCCAGCACACTCCCATTGCCGCTGTCGCCAAGGACATAATTGTCATGTGTGAGTACACTGAGGGACTTCAAGGGAAGAGACGGTGGCTGTCATGGATGCCGGCACCCGCGTCACCATCGCAGTCGGGCCGACAGGGATTTGGGCCAAGGTCACAGTGGGAAGAGGAAGCTAACGTGAGCTTTTGGGCAGGACCTGCTGGATTCATTCAGTGCCCTGGGGTTGCTTGCACATGGGAATGTTTAATAGGAATTGATGTCTTAAGCACTCTGCGATTGCCCAGAGAAGAGCTGAAAATAGAGACACGCTACTGGGACAGTCCTGTCATTTGTCACCGGCGGGTGAGCCAGGATTCCGCGCGAGTGCCTGTGTCTTGATTTTCACTGTCCAGATGGTGCCCTGTTGGTAAGTCGGAACTCCCAGTCTCAGCTCCCCAACTGCAGTGTCCCTATGTCTATGACACCCACACAAAGACCTGTGTGCCAAGGGAACTTTCTTGGGACAATGTGGGTACCCAGGAAACTCCTGTCACTCTGGGTCCCCACTACCAAAGAGCAGTTGAGCTCTCACTGGACTTCCTGCTACCAGAGACAGGACGTGCCTCACTTGGGCATTCCATTCACTGTGTTCTCCCAGCTGACCCGCAAATCAGCATTCTTTGCATGGAGCCCAAGCCAATAGCAATGAAAGCTCTTTGTCCCCTGGATCCCACATTGACTGCAGTCTGGCCACAAATCACACGGGCCGCCTGAGTCATGAACCTGCAGTGGCTGGCAGCCCGACCAGCTGTCATCTGTCACCCCTGTTCCTATGCCGCGAAAACAGACTCATGGGGGCAGGGTTGCCCTTGAACCCTTTTGCTCCTACCGCGTGTGGCCAAGGGTGGCTCCCAACGTGGACCCCACTGTGTACCTGTGCACACACGTGGACTGCCCAGTACCATACACTTTTTTTTGACAGGCAGATTTAGACAGTAAGAGAGACAGAAAGGTCTTCCTTTTCTGTTGGTTCACCCGCTAGGTGGCCGCTATGGCCGGTGCACTGCGCTGATCAGAAGCCAGGAGCCAGGTGCTTCTCCTGGTCTCCCATGTGGGTGCAGGGTCCAAGCACTTGGGCCATCCTCCACTGCCTTCCCGGGCCACAGCAGAGAGCTGGACTGGAAGAGGAGCAATCGGGACAGAACCTGCGCCCCAACCAGGACTAGAACCCGGGGTGCCGGTGCCGCAGGCGGAGGATTAGCCTAGTGAGCCACGGCGCCGGCCCCATACACTTCTGACTGCTGAGCAGCCTGGGGTTACACTGTGTGTGGCTGTCCAAGAAAATGACTCAGGGATATTGCCCACGTTCCTTTTTGTTATTGCTTATTATTTTTGTTTGGAAGGCAGAGCAACTGAGTGAAAAAGAAAGATACCTTCTATTCACTGGTTTACTCCCCAGATGTCTGCAATAATCAGTCCGTAACCAGGAGCCAGGAATGCTATCTGGGTCTCCCACTTGGATGGCAGGGACCCAAGTACTTGAACCATCAATGGCCGCCTCCCAGCGGGGTATGCACTAGCAGGGAGCTGAATTAAAAATGGAGGCAGAATTTGACCTCAGGCACTCCAATATGGGACGCAGGCATCCCAAGCAGCAGCTTAATCTGCCGTGCCACCACGTCCACCCATGTTTCTTCACCAATACAATAATGGCTGAACTCACATTGAACAAAAGCCAAACTGGAGGGGCTTGTGCACAAAGTCCAAAATTCTTTCCTTTCAGCAGATACTATTTTGCTTTTCCTTCCAGTGTAGTTATTGAGAAATCCGGGTCACTCATGTGGCAGGGACCCACGTACCTATGCCATCACCTGCATTCTCCCAGGGTGTGCATTAGTCGGAATTGGAAGTGGAGTAGGCAGGACTTGAACCTGGCACTGCTATGGGATGTAGGCATCCCACGTGGCAATGTAACTGCTGTGCCACACGCACACCCCTAAAACATTGTTTTTTAGGTGATCTCCTTTCATTCTGGAAGCTTCTATTTCTCTCCTTCCTAATGTTTTTGGTGTAAATGTGGGGTTTTGTCTCCGACTTTCTCTGAGTCCTTTTTTTTTTTTTTTTTTTTGACAGGCAGAGTGGACAGTGAGAGAGAGACAGAGAGAAAGGTCTTCCTTTGCCGTTGGTTCACCCTCCAATGGCCGCCGCGGCCGGTGCACCGCGCTGATCCGATGGCAGGAGCCAGGAGCCAGGTGCTTTTCCTGGTCTCCCATGGGGTGCAGGGCCCAAGCACCTGGGCCATCCTCCACTGCACTCCCTGGCCACAGCAGAGGGCTGGCCTGGAAGAGGGGCAACCGGGACAGAATCCGGCGCCCCGACCGGGACTAGAACCCAGTGTGCCGGCGCCGCTAGGTGGAGGATTAGCCTAGTGAGCCACGGCGCCGGCCCTGAGTCCTTTTAATGAAGACCTCAGCCTTTATCCTTTGATTTGAGGACATTTGTTCACATTTCTTTTTTACGGGGGCATTACTGCCTCGGTGTTGGCACCTGCATTCATATTCTCCACAAAGTTTAGCTTTTCTTTTGTACTTTCGAGCCGTTACAGAGTTTGGAACAGAGTGGTGATTTGACTTAGCCTACATTTAAGAAACATCACTGTGTGAGGGCAGGGAACCAGAGAAACTGTTCAGGAAGCGTTCCACGGTCCAGGGAGAGGATGGTGGCTTGGTCACAGGCACTAGGGAAGGAGGCAAGCTGTGGTCTGATGACAGACAGGCCTGTGCTAGTGGTACCGCCAGACGCTGCTAATGAACGGAACGGTGTGTATGCAAGACAGAGAAACAATCAGGACAAAAAGTGTTTGGCCTGTGCAAGAGCAGGAATGGTGGCAGGACTTACTTAGAAGTTGAGATATTAAATACCTAGATTATGTGTCTAGAATGCAGAAAAAGGCAGGAGTTAAGAGATAAATTCTGAAACTGACCCGGGAATACACATCCATGTGCTGAGCCCCGAGAATACTCCCCCATTTAATAGTTTGGAAGGTATTTCAGGCAATGTAAATGTACTTAGCACTACTGAACTGTCCCACTTAAAAATGCTTAGGGGGTAGCAGTAGGATGCCAGCTGGGACCCCTGGATCCCACAGCAGAGACTGGCTTCTACCGCCTGCTCCACTCCAATTCCAGCCTCCTGCTGATCCACACCCTGGGAGGCAGCAGGGATGGCTCAAGTGGTTGGGTCCCTGCCCCCCACATGGGCGACCTGGACTGAGTTCCCAGCCCCTGGCTTCAGCCTACCAGCCCCAGTGGATGGCAGCTCCTTTTCTCTTCAATAAACTTTAAGAAGGTGGGGAAATCTGCACATCAGATGCTGCTGGGAGATGTCACAAGGGGAACGCTGTCCACTGGACTGGAGCGAAGGACTGGAGTAGCTCAAGAAAGACAGGTGGGCAGTAGGGCCAGAAAAGGCGAGTGTAGACAACTCTGCTCCAAGAACGTTGGCTCTGAGTGCACAGAAGGGAATGGGAGGGTCTGGGAAGTCCGTCAATGGGAGATTGACAGCGGGAGGGACGGGTGTGGGTGGGACCAGGCCCACAGCACAGAGGACCCAGCAGGGCGGGGTCCCAAGGAACAGAGCAGGCGTTCAGCCTCACTGTATGGACACCAGCAGAAACTATTTCTTTTATTTGGAACTCTGAAAATAAATGAAAGTCGGTTAAAAAAAGGTGTGTGGCATCTAACTTTAGGGATTTCCCCACAATCCATCACGATAAAGTTCAATCTGAATAAGTTACAGTTACTTTTAGAATTAATATTGCTAGTGTAAAATTATAAACTATTTGTAAGAAAGAGAAAAAATACTGACTGCAAAGTTTATTAGCAAATGTATATCAAGTTCCATAATTTAAAATTATTTAAAACAAAGTTAAAAACATCTGTAAAAGATCAAAACATTCAAAATTTTAGGACAAAACTAATTTTTAAAAAAATTGTAGCATCATAGTTATGAAAATAACAATTATGGCAAGCTATACATTTTTAAATTATAGAAAACATTATAAAATATCTAACAAAATATGTCTTGCTGTTGCTTTGGGGGAAAATAGGGACAGATATTTATTTACATATATTTATCAAAGTGGTTTCCACGTGCCCCTGCCAACAGTCTCACTCCTCTCCTCTAATGCCATAACGGAGCTCACCCAAGGGCGACGGGGACAGACGTGCCACGGACGGCGGCAGGGCAGCCCCAGCCCAGGCACACCGAGCTGCTCTGGGGGCACGCCCGCACAGCCGACACGCTCGCTCGCGTCACAGAAAGCACACTGCCGCCTCGCTGCACGCCGCACACGCCAGCTCCGCTTTACCAAACACGAGGGCAAAATGCGTCGTAACTGGCTTAGCGCGTCCCCAGGCTAGCTTCTGAGCTCCTTCTGAGTCATGATGAAATCCAGAATGAACAGGATTTTCTTCACATATATGGATAAAACACGATTACTTTTTGTAACTGACACTCTTTTATACTTCTGTTCTTTGGTTAATATATGTATAAACCTAAATTTTAAATGTTGAAACTTTGAGAATTAGCTGTAAAAAGCTGTTTTCAATTTATATGCCACAGCTCAGCGTTCACATGCTGTTCGAAAAGACTAGCAAATCAGAATACGCAGTTCAGAGCAAAAACTGGTATTATTGGATGTATTTTGGAATGTCAACAATAATCTTTATTTACCTATATCCTTTCATTCTCTGAAATTTTAGATTAATACACTAAGAAATTTCATTTCTGAAAAATGCCCCAAATTTTCGTTCGACAGTTTTATAAAACTTTGAGTACAGCTTTTAGCTTGATTCTGATATAAACATACCAGCATAGCATCAACACTGAGAATTCTCTGTGACTAATTAGGATATGGGTTATAAACAGGGAAAAAACAACACATTGAAAACATGCAATATAAGAATTTCAACATACATATACCATGGCTCATTAAGAAACAGATTATTAAAGTATGACGTGAATAATACATTATATTAACGCACAGTATAAACACATTTTGGGAGTAAATTAAGTGAGGAAATAATAAAAAACCAGTTAAGCACTATTAGTATATATTTTGTTCTGTCCCATATATGAAAATATACAGTTTTTTAAAGCAAACTTTTTTACATAAATATTCACTGATTTAAATACAAGTTGGCAGAGGTAGAATTTGGTCCATGTTCATGATTTTCAGGAACAAGTACTTCAAATGCTTCACTACTATTCTTTATAATCCATACAGAAACTCACGGAAGGCCATTATTCTGAAACAGAGAGGGGGGTTGAGAGAAAAAGGACAGTTACTCAACGTATTCATACAAAATGAAATTCAATGTTAATCTAATAAAAACTGTGCCCCAGGCCAGTTCCACCTGAGAACAGTTCTCAGAACGAAGGTACAGAGTCCTGGTTTGTACTTCCCCCTTCCTGCACCGCACACACATCAGTGAGCGCGTGTGATCCTGGGAAGTCTGCACGTGGTCTCTGGCCCTGGCCCTGGCCCACAGCTCCTTGGAAACCCCGCAGTGATGGGCGCCTTCTGCATGCTAACAAGATGCCTGGAGGCTGGAGGTCCCCAGGCAACTCAGAATGGGGACTGGTTAGGCACAGCCACTGCACAGGCCAAGGCCTAACCCCGAGAGAGGGAGAGCGCAAGGCTGAGCCTGCCAGAGGCCAAAGATGCAACCAATCAGGCCCATGGAACAAAGCCCCCACGAGAGCCAAAAGGGACTGGGTTTCTCTCTTCCGGAGAGCTGAGCCACTTGCAAATGTCCAGAGAAAGGCGTGTCCGGTGAGGGCACAGAAGCTGCTTCCCACACACGGCTGGCATCTGGCTGTCCAGCTGCACCCTCTGCCTTCCCTTTGTAATCAGCAGGTACATGGAGGTACAGGCCGCCCTGAGACCTGCGAGGTGCACGAGCAAACTAATCGAACCTGAGGAGGGTCGTGGGGACCTTGACTGCCAGCAGACAGTTCAGAAGCACAGGTCACAGCCTGGAGTGGGCATCGGCATCCGAGGTGTGTACAGAGCGAGTGTCTCATGGGACCGCGCCCTTGACCTGTGGGATCTGCCACCATCTCCAGCGTCAGGACTGGCACCCAGGAAGTGGCGGCCGGTGTTGGAAGTGCTGGGCTGAGTGGTGTCTGAGAACAGGGTGCACACTGGGTTTCTCCTGTCTCAGCGCGTGTCAGCGAGCGACTGTCATCAACAGCACAAATGAAGCTGGGTGATCTATGTTCACTATGGGAGCGACACCAGCCTGAGAGACGACTTCACGGCTGAGCGGTTCACTTCTGAGTGCTTCCAGGGCAATCTCTTAGTTAGAAAATGTAAACGGAATGGCTCACTAACGAACAGTGTCATCAGGACACTTTGAAAACCGCAGGATTACAAACTGGGGCTTTGTTAATGGCTGTAAAGTTCTGACCCACATGTCCTAGGACAGCACACTCCTCAACAGGGAGAGAAGAGGGCTGGTGAGGATGCGGAGGCAGGAAGGCAGCCAGGTGCGGCCAGGTGGACAGGGTCTGGCCGGCCCTCAGACAGTGGCAGGGACTCCGCTCTGACCAGCAATTCCACGCCCAGGTCTGACCCAAAGACACGACACCAGGGATGAAGCAGACCCCGCACACCGGTGCCCAGCACGCATTGCCCCCACACCCCAAACTGCCCAAAGCATACACAACGGTGCCTGCAGCAACACAGAGGAGCTGCACACACAGGATTCCAAGTGCCATCAGGGAGACACAGAGGACACAGGGGCCTGAAGGCAGTTACCGTTCACTGGGTACAGGATTTCTGTTTTGGATTAAGAGGTTTTGGAAACAGATAATGGTGATGGTTGTACAACACTATGAATCTAATGCCACTGAACTGTACATTTAAAAAAAAAGTAATTTAAAAACGTAAAATGGTAAATTTTATGTAGATTTTATAATTCTCTAAGTTTTCTCATTTGCCACAGCATTAGCAACTGCTGCAGTCCACTGTGCTCTATTTTTGTTTTGTTTTAGATTTATTTTATTTGACAGAGATGGGGGAGAGAGACAGAGATCTTCCACCACTGTTCACTTTCCAAAGGACAACAATATCCAGGGCTGGGTCAGGCTGAAGGCAGGAGCCAGGAACTCCACCTGGGCCTCCTATGTGGGTGGCAGGGGCCCAAGCATTTGGGCTACGGTGTGCTGCCTTCCCAGGTGCACTGGCAGGGTGCTGGGTGGGAAGGAGAACAGTCAGGTCACAAACTGATGCCCCGATATGGGGTGCCAGTGTCTCACGACTACGTGACACACTGCACAACCACCTCCCCGGCCAGTGCTTCTTAGAGTGTAGCTGGGATCCCGGGGAGTGCCAGGACCCTTCCAAGGCTCTGTAAGATCAAGCCTGTTTCCAAAAAACTGAGGAATCATTTACCTTTTCACCTTTATTTCCTAACAGCTGTTGAATTTACCAGAGGATCTGTGGTGCCAGGGCCAGGAGTATCTTCGATGCACAAGCCTGGGGGAGGGGCGCAGTTCTGGGATAACAAACCAGCTCTGTCATTGCATAGGAGCTGTCTTAGACAAGATGAAGCCAGTGCCACGGCTCACTAGGCTAATCCTCTGCCTGTGGTGCCGGCACCCGGGGTTCTAGTCCCAGTCGGGGCGCCAGATTCTGTCCCGGTTGCCCCTCTTCCAGGCCAGCTCTCTGCTGTGGCCAGGGAGTGCAGTGGAGGATGGCCCAAGTGCTTGGGCCCTGCACCCCATGGGAGACCAGGATAAGTACCTGGCTCCTGCCATCGGATCAGCGCGGTGCGCCGGCTGCAGCGCGCCGGCCACGGCAACCACTGGAGGGTGAACCAACGGCAAAAGGAAGACCTTTCTCTGTTTCTCTCACTGTCCACTCTGCTTGCCAAAAAAAAAAAAAAAAAAAAAAGATGGAAACACATGGGTGTGGCTATGCCCCAATTAAGTCTGAGTTACAAAAACAGGCAGAGGGGTTTGTCTGGCCTACTAGTTTTCCAAGCCTGGATCTAGCAGCAGCTATGAATCAGCACGAGAAAGTACGTGTTACACTGCTCTACCGCTGACCACACTCAAACTACAGCAGCAGCCTGGGAGTGCGAGGACACAGTGAGTGCAGCTGGCACTGACAAGTGGCCTCGCAGTGGAAACCACTGAAGTGTAGGCCCAGAAACACAGGGCATCCGCACGTGCTCGTGATGTGGATTCTGAGTCACCATGGAAATGCTAATTACCTGCTATCTACGGTACTTTTAAGGGAAAAAAAGCGTTCTTCAGAAGAGACTGACTTCACTACTTGTGTCCGTGAGCCTGCATTTTTCACAGACCCTACCTGGCAAACCCTGGTGTGAGTCTTCAGCCCATGTCCGACGAGTCAGCACTTTCCTCTGAGCCTCCCTCCACCACACGCGCCCTAACTCTTTACAACTCATTTGGCAAACTGTCCTGCCGCATTTACTAAAGCTCGGGCATATGCCAGTCCAGGGCCCCAGCGGCTTCACACCCAGCTGGTGCCTGGGGCCCTAAGGCACAGCGGCAGCCACTTCACAGAGCAAGGGTGAGCGTGCTGTGGCAGCTTCACAGGGGGCATCCGTTACGCAGCAACAAGACCGAACAGTTTGCGAGCACTCGCAACAGGATGCACGAACCTCGCAAAGGCCTGGGTGAGGAAAGAGGCCGGAACACACGATTCCATGTATCACCTATCCAAAGACAGGCAAAAAGAAGCTATGCTTTCAACAGCTGGCACAGTCCCTTTGAAAGCAGGGCTAATGAGCAGAGGGGAGTGGAGACGTGGGTGCATGCAACCCACATGTGTTCAGTTTGGAGGTGCCCTGAGCGTGGCACACTTTACTCCTGGCTTTCAGTATCATCACCCTGGTCCCGACCTGATTATACTGTTCATTTCACATCACTTACAGGAAATTCAAACACAGCTGTGAAGTGAACCCACTAGGAAGTTCCTTCATCCGGCCTCTCCCATGTTCCCAGCCTAGAGACGGCAGGATCTTCAAAGGCTCCCCTTGCTTGCAAAATCAGTCAACAACCGATAATGTAGCCTCACGCAGGTATTCCATACACCCCAGTCCACCTTCCAAACCCTCCTGCCTCATCGTCCCAGCCACATCCTGCCATTCCTGCTAGACTGAGTCTCCAGTGCCACACGCATTCCTGCCGCTATGCCTCTTGTCTACATTTTCCCTCTTATTTGCTTGAACTTGGTGCTTCATCAATTACTGCCCTGTGGTATCTCATTCAGTCGTACAATGTTCTACTGTGGATGCCGTCTCTAATTTGGGTATACTTTACATACAGTAAAATGCACGGCCTGCAAATGTTCAGTTTACTCAGTTTTTACAGCTGTGCACGCTCACATCACCAGCACTGCCAGGACTCCAGACCTACCCACTGTTCCAGAACACTCCTTGGAACAGCCTTCCAGGCAAGCTCGCCTCTCCCAACAGAAAACTGCTCCAAACCCTACCACCACAGGTTAGTTTTGCCCGTTGCTAGCGTTACACACATACCTTTCTGACAATTATACACTGATCTGTTCAGGAGTCGGTGAAGGAGACCTCAGAGTAGAACTAAGGGGTGGAGTAGGAAGCCCGTGTCGACGCATCTCTTGGATCGCTCGTTCTCTGTTGGTAAAGATCAAAGGAGATTACACGCAAGCACCAGGAAACTGTAAACTGTGGTGTCCACATATCTGGTGCTCCTGGAGTTAGTCGTTAATTAATTTCTACATTTATTCCCACTACATTTAAATCTTACGTCTTTGTATGATTTTCAAATAGCAGCTAAGAGACTACAATTCAAAGAGTATGAATTACAAGAGATCGTTCAAAACAATCGTGCTTTAATAAACTGTGTAGGAACAGATCACCATTAAAATACTGTATTAGAAACAAAATGCTCAGATCGTATTTGGTCAAAGAGTAGGATGATAAGCGCAACAGACATGCAGTTCACAACTGGCTCTTAAGTGGTGACCATGGAAGGCAGAACTTACAGAGCATTTTAGTTTTCTTCCTCATACTTCACAATTTTTTAAAAATCACAACAAATAGGCCGGCACCATGGCTCTCTTGGCTGGTCCTTCACCTGTGGTGCCGGACCCCAGGTTCTAGTCCCGGTTGGGGTACTGGGTTCTAGTCCCGGTTGCTCCTCTTCCAGTCCAGCTGTGACCTGTGAGGGCAGTGGAGGATGGCCCAAGTGCTTGGGCCCTGCACCCGCATGGGGAGACTGGGAGGAGGCACCTGGCTCCTGGCTTCAGATCGGTGAAGCGCCGGCAGTGGCGGCCACTGGGAAAGTGAACCAACAGAAGGAAGACCTTTCTCTCTGTCTCTCTATAACTCTATCTCTGTCTCTCTCTGTCTAACTGCCTGTCAAAAAAAAAAAAAAAATCACAACAAATCAGTTTAACGTATTCTTAAAAATTAAATTCAAGGCCGGCGCCGCGGCTCACTAGGCTAATCCTCCGCCTAGCGGCGCCGGCACACCGGGTTCTAGTCCCAGTTGGGGAGCCTGATTCTGTCCCGGTTGCCCCTCTTCCAGGCCAGCCCTCTGCTGTGGCCCGGGAGTGCAGTGGAGGATGGCCCAAGTGCTTGGGCCCTGCACCCCATGGGAGACCAGGAGAAGTACCTGGCTCCTGGTTCCTACCATCGGATCAGTGCAGTGCGCCGGCTGCAGCGCGCCGGCCGCGGCGGCCATTGGAGGGTGAACCAACGGCAAAGGAAGACCTTTCTCTCTGTCTCTCTCTCTCACTGTCCACTCTGCCTGTCAAAAAAATAAAAAAAATTAAATTCAAAAGTTGACAGTTGCCACAGCAGTTACAATGCCATTAGGCATGCCCACATCCCACATCTGAGTGCCAGTTTGAGTCCTGGCTACTTTGCTTTGAATCTGGCTTCCTGCTAACACACTGCTGGGAGGCAGCAGGCGATGGCTCAAGTGCTTAGGTGCCTACCACCCACGTGGGACACCTAGATGGGGTTCCTGTCTCCTGGCTTTGGCCTTGCCCAGCCCTGGCTGCTGTGGGCACTGGGAGCAATCCAGTGGGTGGAAGATTTCTGTGTGCTTATCTTGAAAATAAATAAAAACACTGACTGCCTATGTGTTAGCAGGCATCACGTGATCTTTCCACGTGCTCTGATGCTGCTAGCCGTTCTTGGCTGTCCTGGCACCTCTGTCACCTGCTTCTCTTTCTACCCAGAGACGACTGCCTCGCTCTTCCACCGGACCCTTCCCGTCCGGCTCGGGCTCAGGCAGGTGTTCCTCCCCTTTGCTTTTATACGACATGACTCTGCAAATCTCCACCTTCAGTTCCGTCCGGCGCTCCAGGCCCCACGGAAGTCTCCGCTGGACAATCCACAGGTACCCCACACACCCTCCCATGACCTCTCCTGACGCCAGGCTATGGGCAGGTTCTGTCCTACACCCGCTCCACCGTCATGACACACACCGTCTCTGTGAGTCTACATACGTGTGTCTTCCTCATTGACCAGCTACCCACCTGAGTACTTTCTTCCAATGCTGTTCTTTGTGTGGGCATAGAGCCTGGCTTATCATGGAAACAGCAATACTTGGTCTCTGGTGTGGAGACACATCCCATACGACAAGCTCTTTCTACCTCCCTCTGAGCTGAGTCCGCACAGACTGAACCACCTCAAGGGGTACGGCTTGCCTGTCGGGTGTTCCGCCCAGCAGAACACGCGTATGTGGCCACTTCCTCCTGATCTTGTGCAGCCTTCGCCCCACAATGCAGACAGCCACTTAGACGGCTGCACCCGGGAATGGTGCACTGTTTGCACCACACGGACTCCTCACTCGGGCTCTCGGCCCAGGCTGCTCTCCCGAGGGCGCTCTCCAGCTGCGCGGCTCCGTCCTCGGCCCCTTCCCATGTCTTCGTGCACATCAGTCCAGTCCTCGCTTCCTTCTTCCTCAAAAGTTCCCAATGTCACAGCGGAACAATCCTCCTTCTCCGTAACAGGCTGCCGCACCAAGCACAGCAGCTACACTGCTGTCTCCTCTGCGGGCTACTCAGGCTCGGGCCTAGGCTTTTCTGCCATCAGTTCTTCAACATCCAGGGTTTCTACCTAGTTTCGTGTTTCTCAACTTTTTTTTATAACTATTGTCCAAAGGAGCTAAGCTTTTCCTCTGCACCCCAGGAAACTGCAATGCACAGATATGCTGTTGTGTCATGTGGCCTCTGGGGGCCCAGCAACCACTGTAATGTATGACTCTGCCTCTCGACTCCACCTCTAGGAACCAGCTTCTGTGTCTATGAGAATGCTCGGCCGAGCAGGATAGCAAAGAACAAGAAGACATGATCACGTGGCTCAAGCTTCTTTGAAGGGGCAAGATCAAAGGAGAACTAAGGCGGGGGCTATAACTGGGCTATAGAGTTTGGTGTAGGACCCCTGAATTACATAGAATTTAAATGATCATTAAGAACTAGAAATCATTATGTATGTACATGCGATTAACACAGAGGACAGAACAACTGTAAGAAATCAATAACACTTTTTATATCATTCCCACACTCAAACTTCATCTCTGAAATCATAAATATTCCTTAAAAGATTTATTTATTTAAGGGTGGGGAGAGACAGAGAAAAATCAATCTTCCATCTGCTGTTCACTCCCCAAATGGCCACAACAGCCAGGGCTGGGCCAGGCTGAAGCCAGGAGCCAGGAACTCCACCCTGCTCTCCCACATGGATGACAGGGGCTCAAGCACTTGGGTCATCTTCCACTGCCTTCCCAGGTGCATTGGGAAGGAGTTCGATCAGAAACAGAGCAGCTGGGACTCAAACCAGCACTCCAATATAGTATGCTGGTCCGACATGTGGTAGCCTAACCTGCTGCGCCATGCTGGCCCCTGAAATCATAAATATTCATTTCATAGCAATTTCCCTTTTTATTTCAAATAGCACATCACTCAAACGTTTTGATGTAAATGGATACAAATAAGAGAGTTCAAAAACTGACCTAGTAAGCAATTTGACCATTATTTGAAAATGAAATCTCAGGCATGCTGATGTGTATGTACGGTATGGTGAGAAAATGTATAAAAGAAAAGTACCTGGGTAACTGAATTTCAAATTAGACTTTGATTCTAATTCTCAAAACAGATCTCATACCTGTCTGAAGCACTTAGGAATTAAGGTGCTCAACATGAAGCAAATGGACTGAAATATGAGAGAGAGAGAGAGAGAGAGAGAGAGAGGGAGGGAGGGAGGGAGGGAGGGAGGGAGAGGGAGGAAGAGAGAATATTCCTAACTGATGGAATCCACTGCAGGCGCTAAGAGCAAGGCTCCACACTCCGACAGGCCTGCCCCATGCTCCTCTTAGCTCCACCATTTCCCACGTGTGTGACCTCAGCTTCCTCTAATTCGGGCAGTCAATGCCCCTAAAATAACGCCCCAGTTGGAAGCATTTAGACATTCCTTGCTGCCTTATTTCCTGCAGAGATGCTATCTTCCACAGTACTCGCTGCCCTTCTAGGAATAACTACCAAGGGAATTCACTTTACACATCCACATCCATGCTGAGAGAAGCCTGCATTTACAGGCCATATTAAGTCCCCTTTGGAACAGGACAGGATGCTCGCGAAGACGCTGGACAATGCTTCCTTTCTTTTCGTACCGTTCGTATTTTTCCGCTGCAATCTGCCTCTTCAGAGCGTCGTGATCTGTCTGCAATTCTGCCACCTTAGCTCGAAGCATGGTGTTCTCTCGGCTTTGACTAGTTCTTAAAAACAAACATAAAACTTAAAGGAACAAGAAATGAACTTTGCTTGTTAAGGTCAAGTATTATGAATTTTGTAACGAATAAATACAAGTGGAGATGACGCTTAAGAAAGACCAGGCTTGGCTGGTGCCGCAGCTCAATAGGCTAATCCTCCACCTTGCAGTGCCGGCACACCGGGTTCTAATCCCGGTCGGGGCACCGGATTCTGTCCCGGTTGCCCCTCTTCCAGGCCAGCTCTCTGCTGTGGCCAGGGAAGTGCAGTGGAGGATGGCCCAAGTGCTTGGGCTCTGCACCCCATGGGAGACCAGGAGAAGCACCTGGCTCCTGCCATCAGATCAGCATGGTGCGCTGGCCGCAGCGTGCCAGCCGTGGCAGCCATAGGAGGGTGAACCAACAGCAAAGGAAGACCTTTCTCTCTGTCTCTCTCTAACTCTGTCAAAAAGAAAAAAAAAAAAAAGAAAAGAAAAAAAGCTTGTTGTTCCACTCATACTATCTACCCTAGGAGTCCTCCCCTCCTCTCTCACGGCAACTATGACCCCGCCTCTCCATTCTAAAAAGACACCATCACCAGTCTCCCCAGAGGCACTCAGTACACGTCTGAGGGTCCAGTCTCAGCCTCTTCTCAGTCCTCTTCCTAACAGTGGCAGAAGACCCAGGTTCCTGCTCCCACCCTGAAGTGCTTTCTCCCTCCCTGACCCCTCGGTTCCTACTCTGATTCAAGTTTATCCTTGAAAATCGCTCTTCCCATTTGTCCCACGGCAGCACCTCCATGGCAGATGCAGCCAACACCTCTGAGCCAGCCCTTCCAAGCTGTTCCATGTGTTTCCCAAAGGAGCAGGTGCACTAAGTCAGACGTGGTGGCTGTGGCTGGGTGCCCTCCACCCCAAACTGGAAAATTACTTTGGACAAGCTGGGTCCCTTGCACAGGTGGATTTACAAACAACACTTACAATTTGCTCTCCGAAAGGGTCAACTTCTCTTTGAGAAGCTGAATCTCGGTATCCTTCTCGTGACAGGTTAAATGAGAGTGAAATTCCTTATCTCTGTTCGAAGCCAACAATGCTTCAAGGTTTTTAATTGTGTGTCTTTCATTTAACAGCTGTTTTTTTAACATCTCAGACTCTGATTTTACATTTTCTAATTCTGCCACAGCCTACAGGAAAAACAAAGTAAGATTACTTCAGTGCAATTTTCCAATTATTCTGAAAAATTATTTATGTGATAACACAGCCCTGCAGAGGAGTATTCACCCATCAGTTGTTTCACCATGGGCATTGGTGAGAGACTCTGACCATATCTAAGAGAAACACCTCATCTCCAAACAATTTTTGCTGTTTTACTATGAGCTAATTTGATTATAAGACCTACCATAACCCTCAAAGAGTTGACACTCATGTTATCTTGTCAAGAAAGGCTCTCTCACAGAAAATCCTAACTGTGACAACTCTGTCTGGTCTATTAAATGTGCTCACTCCGGCTACCTATCAAGCCAGCGCCGTAGCTACTCAGTACCTGAACATTTTCATCAGATGAGTGAAAACTGAAAACAATAATTTTTGAAAACACGCTAGATAGTCTAAAGGAATGACTCAATTTGGGAACAGGAAGTTTTGGCTTTGTGGATTTATTAAATTCAGCAAGATTTAAATGCCTTTAGATTTTTATCAGGAAAAATCTGCACTTGGGAACATTAGACTGTTCAATCCTTCATGCAAGTCTTCCTTTCAAATAGATGCATAGATATGCTCCGAATCCACAATGGGAACACACACTCCTGAGGAAGACACTTGGTACAGTGGTTAGCCACAGCTCAGGACGCTGGCATCCCATGTCAGAGTGCCTGCTCTGAGTGCCGGCCTGCTTCCAAACCAGCTTCCTGCTAACATACACCCGGGAAGGCAGCAGATGATGACTTAAAAGTACATGAGTTCCCGGGGGGGTGCTGTGGCGCAGCAGGTTAATGCCCAGGCCTTAAGTGCCGGCATCCCATATGGGCGCTGGTTTGAGTCCTGGCTGCTCCACTTCTGATCCAGCTCTCTGCTATGGCCTGGGAAAGCAGTAGAAGATGGCCCAGGTGCTTGGGCCTCTGCTCCCATATGGGAGACCCAGAAGAGGCTCCTGGCTCCTGGCTTTGGATTGGCGCAAGTCTGGCCGTTATGGCCAATTGGGGAGTGAATCATTGGATGCAAGACCCCCCCCCCCCCCCTTCTCCTCTGACTTTCAAATAAAAACAAAATAGTACATGGGTCCCTAGTACCCAGATGGATAACCTCCTAGATTGAGCTCCTGACTCCTGACTCTGGCCTGGTCGAAACTTGGTTGTTGTAGGCACTTGGGGAGTGAGCTAATGGAGCTGCTAGTGAGCTAGTCTCTATCTCTTTCTTTCTTTCTTTAAAATAAAATGAAAATTCAACATTTTTAGAAAATTTATAATCTCCTAAATACTCATTTATTTCAAAACAGAGAACACCTAATTTCATTATGATGTTTGCCACAAAAATCCTGACAAAGAATCTAGTAGTCAAATCTAATTGTCAAAATCTTATAGACAAAAAGTAAATTATTTGGAGCTGGTGTTGTGGCACAGCAGGTAAAGCCTCCTCCTGTGATGCTGGCATCCCATATTGGTGTCAGTTTGTGTCCTGGCTTCTCCACTTCTAATCCAGCTCCCTGCTAACAGCCTGGGAAAAGCAGCAAAAGATGGCCCAAGTGCTCAGGCCCCTGCCACCCACGAGGGAGACCTGAATAAAGCTCCTGGCTTTGGCCTGGCCCGGAGCTGGCTGTTGTGGCCATCTCGGGAGTGAACCAGCAGATGTGGAAGATCTCTGTCTTTCTCATTAACTCTTTCAAAATAAATATGCAACTCTTAAAAAAAAAAAAAGAGTAAAAGTAAACTATTCTAGGGGTAAGCATTTGGCCTAAAGAACTATTGTCCCTTTTCAGAGTGCCTGGGTTCAAGCCTCAGCTCCGCTCCTGATTCTAACTTCCTGCTGCTATGCCCCCTTGGCAGCAGCAGGCGACGGCTCCAGGAGCTGGGTACCTGACACCCATGTGGGAGAGGTCCCAGTTCTTGGTTTCTGCTTGACCCAGCTCTGGCTACTGCGGTATTTTGCAGATGGGCTGGTGGATGGGAGGGAGCTCCCTTTCTCGGTCTCTCTAAAGCAACTTCTTCAAACGGACACAAGAATATGGGCAGTGAATGGTAAAGGGAAACACTCAGAGCAAGGCTCAAGAAAAAGAGATGCGAGACAATTTCTCTTTAGCACTTACCCTCTCAAACTCAAGGTTTTTGGAATTCAATTGTTGGGTCGTAACATCTTTGCCTGAATCTAACTTAATGCAAAGCTCTCTCAGAGACGACAAATCACTCAACGCTGCTGCTTTCTCGTTTTCCCGAAGTCTCAGTTCTTCTTCTAATCTAGACATGGCCTTTGCCATGGATGAGATTTGGGATTCATATGCGTGATGTGCATTTATGTGCTGAAGGAAGAAACATCACAAAGTTAGACGCAAACCAATAATTTTAGGGCTTGAATCTGTACAGTCACAACCTTAGAATATATATGAATTTTTGCATTTTCAAAAATACCTCAGGAAGTTGCTTATTTACAGCTGGCTTATTTAATGCTTAACAAAAAGAACTGTGTGTAATTATTAATCATGGCAACTAAGTACCTCATGTATACAACTGCAAGGTGCAGAGGTGATAATTACTGTGTCAGGGTGCTGTGAGGAGATTTTTTGAAGTTACATTTAATTTTTCCTTTCTAAGTTTCCTGCAGGGAGCAGGCACTTGGCCTAGCAGTTAAGACACTGACCAGGATGCCTGTGTCTTGTGTCAGGAGCCTGGACTGGATTCCCAGCTCGAGGTCCTGATTCCAGCTTCCTGCTAGTGGAAGGCAGGAAGAAGGGATAGGAGGCAGCGTGGCAGCTCAAGCAACTGGGCTCCTGCCATCCACACGGGGGACCTAGTCTGGTTTCTAGCTCCTGGCTTTGGGCTCCCAATCTCTGCTGCTGTGGGCCTGAACCCTGGGAACTCTTTTGTGTCTCTGTTTCTCAGCTCCTGGCTCTCAACTAAACAAATAAATTAATATATTTTAAAAATTCTGTTATCTTGCCATTTCAACAAAAAGTAACATATATGTTTTATTGCTCTCCAACCAGCTGTCTTTAAATTCACAATTTCAAAAATGAGGTTTAGTTTAAAATTAAATATCTGAAGTAATATATAAATTTAATAATAAAATCTGTATGATAATAATAACCTTAAGTTAGCAAGGAGCTGGACGAGAAGTGGCGCAGCCAGGACTCAAAAACCAGTGCATATATGGGATGCTAGCTTTGCATGCCCCACTAGCACCAGTTTCAATATCCAAAAGTTGGAAACAAACCAAAAAGATGAATGGACTAGGGCCAGTGATGTGGTGCAGTGGATTTAAGCAGCCACATGTGACACTCGCATCCCATACGGGAGGTGGTTCAAGGTCTGGCTGCTCCACTTCCAGTCTGGCTCCCTGTTAATGTGCCCGGAAGGTAGCAGAAGATGGCCCAACTACTGGGGCTCCTACCACTCATGTGGAAGATCCAAACTGAGTTCCAGGCTCCTAGCTCAGCCCTGACTGCCATTTGGAGAATGAACCATAAGATGAAGATCTCTGTATCTCCCCATCTTTTCCCCTCTCTGTAACTCTGCCTTTCAAATAAAGAACTCAATCTTTTTTAAAAAATTAATGGATAAACAAAATGTGGCATACACATACAATATAATATCATTCAGCCTTGAAAAAGGAATGGAATTCTGACACATGCTACAACATGAATGAACCTTGAAGTGAACCTTAAGATTCAGTGAAATAAGCCAGTTACACAGGTCAAATACTGTGTGATTCCAATCATACAAGGGACCCACAGAGTGGTCAAACTCATAGAGCCCAGAAGTGGAATGGTCGTTGCCAGGGGTCAGGGTGGGGACAACAAAGAACTGTTGCTTCCTAAGTACACTTTTAGTGGGGGAAGCTACACAGTACTGAAGACAGATAATGACAGTTGCACAACACTGTGAATGTACTTCATGCCTGAAAACTGTACACATTAAAATGGCACATTTGATGCTACGCATATTTTACTACAGTACAAAAAGTAATGGGGCTCCCAAGCTAATTGTTAGAATCAATGACAAAAAATCACTACTGTATTTACCAATGCCTACAACCTCCCTGCAGTGAAAGATCTCTGAACGTCTTCCATCTTACCAAATAATGTCTTTACAGTACAAGTGAATGGATTACCTCCTGGATTTCTTTTTCTAGAAGTTCCACTCTTTCTCGAAGGTGTCTCCTCTCTGTGTCAATAGAAAGAAGCTCCAGCCGGACTGAACTGCTCACCCCCTCAGCCTGGTGGGCTTTGACTTCCCAGTCTTCAGCACGGTTGTGAAGCATCTGGAATTTGTCTAACAAATCTTGATTTTCCTTTTCCTGGTTCAAACATAAATTGCTCGTAAGTTAGAAAGTTGCTGGAACACCACATCATGCACACACCCACTGACACTCTACTTTCTACTAGAAAACAGCAGGTGTGTGCACAGGTGCGATACTAATATCCCTGGGGAAATCCAAAAAATTACTTAGCAGTGGAGAAGGGATAGACAAACATGAAAATGTTCTTAAGAATGGGTCATAAATCTAGCCTAACAATGTTTTTACCTTAGAAGCCATTAAGGTCTCCCATCGTGATACTTCAGTTATGTAACTATGAACTCGACTTTTCATTTCTTCTTTTTCTTGTACTGATGCTTCTAATTCCAGTGAGATTTCCTATAAACCAGAAATTAAAGACAAATCTAAAACGACCACAGCACCAACTGAGTTGTTTCTATTCAAACAGCCTCTTTAGAATTAGAGACTGAGAGTATAGTTGTCTTCTTAGAACTGTACCTATGAAATACATGAAATCTGTTCTCTTTGCAGTAATAAAAATTTATAAACTCTTTGAAATTATCTGAAGGATATTATAAACTTTGATCTAAAAAAATAAAGTAGGAAGAAAGGGAAACTGTTCCTACATGTTACCTTTACATAATTTTCCTGGCTGATATTGACTTTTTAAAAAAAAATTTTTTTTTTTTTTTAATTTGAGAGACAGAGATAGAAGGAAAGGTAGACAGAGAGAGAGAGAGAGAGAGAAAGAGAGAGAGAGGTCTTCCATCTGCTGGTTCACTCTCCAGATGGCAACAACAACTGGAGCTGCACTGATCCAAAGCCAGGAGCCAGGAGCTTCTTCCAGGTTTCCCGCATGGGTACAGTGGCCCAAGGACTTGGGCCATCCTCTACTGCCTTCCTAGGCCAAAGCCGAAAGCTGGATCGGAAGCAGAGCATCCGAGACTTGAACTGGAGCCCATATGGGATGCCAGCACTGCAGGCAGTGGCTTTACCCGCTATGCCACAGCGCCGGCCTCAACATCATACTCCTTATACTCCTTAAATAATTATTTATGTGGCCTAAATATTAAACCATTAAGTTTGAGAAAAAACCATTCAGAATTTGAATATTTAGCAAACAATGACTAGGTACTATAATACTGTTGAAGTCCACACATTGATTTCACACCTGGTTTTCTCTTGCCATTGTAGCCAGATCATCTTGTAATCTTCTGTTCTCCTTAAAAGCCATGTCTCTAGATCTTCCAACTTCATCGAGTTCCTTGTGAGCCGCATCCAGCTGGCGCCGGAGGCTGCTCACCTCCCGGTCTCGATTACTCAGGGTTTCCTTTAGCTGGCTGTTGAATGAGTCAAGTGGAAACAATAAAGAAAGGTTTTTGGAAAGCTGTGGTTCATTAACAGAAAATTGTTTTAATCTGCTTTGAGTATACTAAGAATACAAGAAATCAGATCCACTGCACTGATACTGATTAGCTAGGTAAAGCAGATATTTTAAGCTCTATCAATCTTACATGAATGCAGTCATAAAATAAATGTATTATTCCAAAAACTTAAAAATCATAGGAAACTTCCAAGTGTAAGAATAAACCACATAGGGGCCAGCACCATGGCACAGAGGGTTAAGCTACCACCAGCGATCCTGGCATTCCATATGGGTGTTTGAGTCCCAGCTGCTCCACTTCTGATCCAGCTCCCTGCTACTGCACCTGGGGAAAGCAGCAGAGCATGGCCCAGTGCACCCACATGGGAGGCCTGGAAGGAGTTCCAGGCTCGCCTGGCATAGACCTGGCCTTTGCAGCCATTTCTGGAGTGAACCAGAGGATGGAAGATCCCGATTCTCCTCTCCCCCTTTCTCTCTGTCTCTATCTCTCCCTCTCTCTCTCAAATTCTGAGGCCTTTCAAATCTTTTTTTTTTTTTTTTTTTCCAGAGAAAGAGTGAACAAGCCAAATATTGGCAAATACTTCATAAATGTTTACCTCTCCACTGACATTTCTCCTAGCGACCTACAGTCTTTCTGGACAGACACAGAGCAGACACAAGAAATAAACTATTCTAACAGGGTTCATGACAGGGTTGGATGGAGCACAACTCAAGACTGGCTGCTAACGTCATCCGAGCTTTAACCATTAGGGTCTGAACAGGGTAATTACATACAAACGAAGAGCAGGCAGGCAGGCAGGCAGGCAGGCAGGCAGGCAAGAGAGCTAGTAAGGCCTGAGTGTCAGATGTGGGGGAAGGAGGAAGGAGAAAGGTAAAGAGGGGAACTTATTTCAAGCAAGAGACTTGAGAAAATGATGCTGCCATTGGCAATGACGGAAAACTTGAGAAAACAATTCTCTCATTGCTGGATCTAAATAAATAAAGCCATAGTCACTGAAAATTTTAAAAAAACTGAGACTCCATCTCACTACTTACTTACTTCATAGATTTATCAAACTCTGAGACAGTTATCTTCATCTGAGCAATAGTTTTTTCCTATAGAAATTATAAAGATATATGAGATTCTAAACCATCCATATAAAAATGTCATCAAGTTTATGAATTTTGTCACATTTATACGGTTCAAACATACAATTCAATTATACAAATCAGGCATAGAAAGCAAGCTCCAGGTAAACATGTTTCCACATGCCAAGTACTTCACATATAGGCATGTTTCCATGTTTCCACTCACCCTAAAAACTAGCATGATTTCCTTAAGTTTAATAAAATCTGACAAAATCACATTCTGGAAATAGAGAAAAATCACATTTTGCAGGTTCAAAGAATTGGGATAAAATGAGATTTACTGGAGGATGTGGCTCTGTGTCTTGGGAACTTGAGCATGGATGATAAGCACTGCCCAGATGAAACAGAACCAAGTAACCTTTCCTGTCAGGTGCTGGAAAGTCATACGGAACAGTCACCTACTTTACTAGCGAGGTTTTCTTGCAAGTTTGCAATCTTTTCTGTCTTCTCGTCTACAGTCTCCTGAAGAAAGTCCTTTTCTTTATCAATGACACCAATGGTCTTTTTCATTACATGGACCTCCTCATCCTGTGAAGTCATCTTAAGGTTTAATTTATCTGTAAACGAAAACAAACATTTGTCAGACAAAATAAATCCGGATGAGCAGAAATGGAATTTAACAGCACTTACCTATTTGCTCCTCCAGTATTTTAATTTGTGCTTGGGCTGAATCAAGTTCACCTCTTTTCACGGAGAGTCGGTGCTGATAGTCATCAAGTGACCGCTCTAGCTGCTCATTTACTATCCTAAAGAATCAGTGGACAAAAACAAATGGTATTCTTTATCTCTCACAGAAATAATTCTTTTAAATGAGAGGACTTAAAAAGTATATTGGTTTCTTATTTTTAAAGTTTCGTTTCTTTTTTATTTTAAAGCTCTTCCAGTATAATCAATGGCATTATATTACATATTATAATTTCTTGCTCTCCACCATTCTTCTCCAAAATGGTTCCATTTTCCTAAAAATAATATGGTATAAAAATCAAATTAATTGTGTACTCTCTTCTAGGGGCTTCTTGGTAGTTTTACACTCTTCTCGGTTTCCTAATGGCAACCTCCTTTCCCTCAAATACTATTTCCAACAGCAGAGGCCAAGGAAAGTCCTGTTCTTTCAGGATGGCCCGGTGCATGGAAGGACTGTCTGTAAAGCCTGGCCATCCTGACCTGTGAGCCTCCCGTCTGCGTCTCACTCTGACTTCCTGGGTGAGTGGTCAACGAGAAGCCACAGTAAGCAGGGAAAGCATGCACTGGCTGGAGTGCAGCAGGGATTTAACAGGGAAGTCTCTTTGCGAAGCACAAGAAACCTGGCTGCACAGTGGCCGAGGGGTGGGCTATACACACTTCTCAGAGGAATCTGTTAGCAACCAGTAAGGTGGTTTTGGGAAGCACTGTGCCTGGAGGCTGCAACAGCATCCATCAGCTCTCCGGGAGTGGATTCCTGTCTTCAGAATGCTTTTAGCCCTGACCTAGGAGTTCTTAACCCAACCTTCCTGGAAAGATGAGGCTGTCAAGAGAGAGAGAGAGAGAGAGAGAGAGAGAGAGAGAGAGAGAGAGGCAGGCACAACTAAACCATGTCAGAAAGACAGCATAATCATTACAGCAATTTTCCTCTACAATATTATGTGAGGTGCAGGTGACTGCACTCGACACGTAAGTGGCTCCTCAAAGCTAGAGCTGCTACTCTGTGAGCTGTAACAGACTGCTATTGTATAGACATTAGCTCACTTATGCCCAGAACAGGCCATAATCAGGAACCATTACCCCAATTTGACAGAAACAAGTAATGTGACCAAGATCACAAAGTTAGCAAAGGTAAAGAAAACAGGCAAATGTATAAAGGGAACCAATATCTCTGATGTGGAAGAGAAAATGTCGGGAAGCTACACGGAACCCTAAGATGGAATGGCTCTGAGCCCTGACACTGGGGGCTGGCCCTGCTTGACATTCTAGTAGAAATGAGAAGACCTCTTGACACCTAACTTCCTAAGCAGGGTGACTGCCTAATAAAAGTGGGGCTGATAAAGGGAAGCAGGATAACACCTTGATTGACATGATACTTCAGAAAGTTCATGGAAAATGGAATTAAAAGTTAAATTTATTTTAATGCTGATTTTTTTTTGAAATTTGCTATAATTTGAATATGATTTGGCTCCTAATGCAGAAATTTAATCCACAAAGTCATAAGTTAAAAGTATTTGGAGGGTGGAGACAGAGGTGAGCCTCGGGAGGTCCTTAGGTCATGGGGCATGCCCTGGGAAGGTCATTCTTGTCAGAGGGTTGATCAGACAAGCCCGAGTCACACCCAGTCGAGCTGTCCGCTTCCTGGCTCCCCATGTAATGCTTCCACGTGCCCTACAGCGTCACCAGATGGCTGAGCCAACGGGGCCCACCCAATGTGCGACTATGAACCTCCAAAACTCGGGGCCAAAACAAATCTCCTGTACAAGAGGCTTCTCACAGGCATTTTTTATAGTGACGAACAGTTGACAAATATAAAATTTATGCATAGTTTTTTTCATAATATGCTTTTTCCATGCGTTTTCTGAAGACCTCTCAAACATACAAAAGAATCTCTTGGGTGAGTCCTAAAAATCGCTTTGCCTTTTTATAATCTACGGGAAGGGGACATTGGATCAGACCCTGGAAGTAACTCTGGTGACTCAAGGACTGCTACTAAGATAAATGCCAACCCACCGAAAGAAGTAAGCTTCAAGGCTCATGGGGCAGAAGAGCTGAGTGCCTGCTCTGCTACTTATGAATCATGGTGTTTGGAAAAGAAATTTTGACAACTAAGTAGTTAGAAAAAAAAAGGGGGGGGGGCCGTTTTCTTAGCTTCAGAGTTGCTCTACCCATAGCAAAGAAATGACGGCTTCCCCCAGAGAACGAAGTAGTGAAGTGAAACGAGGGTCTGTGCTCTTCACTTAGACACTGTGCTTGGGAGCTTTAACTCTGACCCAACTTGCTCAGCTGCGCATTACCTCACACGGAGCGACGCATGCTCTCATTTTAGTGGACAAAAGTAATTATTTCCCTTCATGGTAGGAGCATATTTTATATAAAGATAGCATTTTAAAGGTCCTTTATTCATAAGAAGTATCTAAGTTCTAAGGCAGTGCTGACGTTCCATTTAAGAGAGGTAGGGCTGGAATTTTAGGGGGTTACTGGAAAAAAGAAACTGATGTGGCATGCCTGTCTTTAAATTTCTAAGAGAGTCTATGGTTATGGCTCACCACCAATGGGAAGAGAAGAAATTAGGATTTCTTTTTCTATTTTAAATTTAGGTTTCTGCAAGGCGATGACGACTTATTGTAACTGGCAGCCCTAGTTCCCTTGGTCTTTTCTATCCCAGCGCCATGAATACCTTAGTTACTCTGTCAGTGCTCTGGCTCCTCTTCCTGTCTTAGTCAAAGAACAAATATTAGGAATTTTAGGAATGCCTCCAAGATAGTCTTTAGGTGTCCTGGCTAATCAGAAATGGTTCTAAATTGCCTTGCCAAATAAGTATGTCTCAAGGGAGACAAGTTGCAATTGGTTTTCTGAATACACGTAAACAGATCCTAGGAGTGCAACTGCTACCTGTTGGCATAAGCACAACTCCAACTGGAGTTCATGGCTCATTTCCAGGAGAAACTGCTATAGCATTCATTAGACTCTGAGTAAGCATATAACTGGTTTTGAATAACATGCACAGAAAAGACTAAGCTAAGTTGATAACAGTCTGACAGAATTTTGTGCCACAGGAATCTCATTTTAGATTTATATTTAGAGCATCAGGGCTAAGCAAGTGTGAGGGTTAAGGATGTTTACCATGGGGGGCTGAGAACAGTTAGTCGTCTAACTAGGCTGAAAACAATCTATCTTCAGTAGGGGTCACCAAAGTGTGGTCCACTGACTAATTATTTAAGAACAGAGAGCTAGGAGCCGGCACCATGGCACAGTGGGCTCAGCCTCCGCTGGTGGCGCTGACATCCCCACTTCCAATCCAGCTCTCTGCTGGTGGTCTCGGAAAGCAGAGGAAGATGGCACAAATGCTTGGGCCCCTGCACCCACCAAAGCTCCTGGCTTCTGGCCTAGGATGGCCCAACTTCAACTATTGCAGCTCTATGGGGAGTGAACCAGAGGATGGAAGACTTTTCTCTCTCTCTGTAACTCTCTCAGATAAGTAAATAAATCTTTAAAAAAGAGAGAGCTAGAATGTTTTATACATGCTTGCCATAATACTAACCTCATGCTTAAATGTCTGAAAAACATTTTGACAAATTATTTTGTGCCATATGAACTTGTGTGTCATTCAAATTTCAGTGTCCATAAAAAATGATGCATTAGAACACAAGCACATTCTTTCATTTATGCGTCAGCTCCAGCTACAACGGCAGAGTTAAGCAGGTGTAACAGCGACTGTATGGCCTGCATGTTGACTCTCTTTACATAAAAGGGTTGCTGACCCTGGCTCCAGAGACTGGGGGCACACCCTCGGGGCTAACAGACCATCTCTTCTGGGACAGAGAAGCTCCCTCACAGCTGGGGGCGGGGGGGAGCTGATGAGGGGCATACAATGCCAGGTGTCATTAAGTGCTACAATTCAAGGGAGACAACAGCCAAGATTCTGGATCACTTCCTCTGAAGCTACACCAGAAGACTGGACAAAGATCTTCTGGGTGGACAATCAGAGGCTGTGCTTGCCAGAGAAAACTGGTGTGGTGGTGCATGGAAGTATGGGAAATCGCCTGGTGCAGGAAGGGAAACAGAAGACAAGGCCTCGCCTGCCTGGGAAGCTGCCTCTCAGAGATTTCCTGTCTCAGAAACGAGAATCTGATGTGACTAAAGGGGTAGCAAGAGTTCTATCAACCATGTGCAAGCAGCAGAAGGTTTGGATCGTGTGGCTTTGCTCCCAGAGAGCGTGGTCATGGCTTGTACTGGGTTTTCCTCTGGATGGCTGTAACGACATTCTGCCTGGGCTGACTGTAGTGCAGACATGACTGACACACCTTCTTGGAGAGAACACTATGAGAGGGGAGAGAACGCTCACGAGAGACAAGGTCGCGGGGACAAAGACAACTCCGAAGAGGCTGCAGTCTGGGTGACGAGAGGGTGCTGCAAGCTCTGCCTGAGAGGCCGGAGAAGCCCTCCTGGGAGGAAAGGAAGGCGGCGTGGGGCTACAGATGAAGGAAGAGCAAGCGGGATTCAACGACAGGCCCGTCAGCTGGACACACGGGGAGAAGCGCAGGGCGGAGCAGAGGAGGGAAGCATGAGAGGACACGTGCTCTCTGCTACAGGGCATCTGTGGTGCTTGCTGAAGGCCACTGCCCCGACTGCAGTCAGAGCAGCAGGAGGGCAAAACGGGAGCAGCCCCGGCCGAGCCCCTGACACAGCGCAGCCCCGGCCGAGCCCCTGACACAGCTCAGCCCCGGCCCCTGACACAGCCAGCGCAGCCCCGGCCACGCCCCTGACACAGCTCAGCCCCGGCCGAGCCCCTGACACAGCGCAGGCCCGGCCCCTGACACAGCGCAGCCCCGGCCCCTGACACAGCGCAGCCCCGGCCATGCCCCTGACACAGCGCAGCCCCGGCCATGCCCCTGACACAGCGCAGCCCCAGCCACGCCCCTGACACAGCACTCCTGTCCCAACCAGACACACCCAGTTCTTGGTCTTACTTTAGTTGCTTGATCATCTGGGAATGCTTCTTCCTTTTCCTAATTATTCACATGATTCTCACTTCTGCTCTATTTATCTGACTATAGATTTTTTTTTTTTTTTTTTTTTGACAGGCAGAGTGGACAGTGAGAGAGAGACAGACAGAGAGAAAGGTCTTCCTTTGCCGTTGGTTCACCCTCCAATGGCTGCCGCGGCCGGCGCACCGCGCTGATCCAATGGCAGGAGCCAGGTACTTCTCCTGGTCTCCCATGGGGTGCAGGGCCCAAGCACTTGGCCATCCTCCACTGCACTCCCTGGCCACAGCAGAGAGCTGGCCTGGAAGAGGGGCAACCGGGACAGAATCCGGTGTCCTGACCGGGACTAGAACCCGGTGTGCCGGCGCCGCAAGGCGGAGGATTAGCCTAGTGAGCCGCGGCACTGGCTATAGATGCTTTTGTGGTATTTGTATATTTGTGTATTCCATCTGCATCTTTTTCCCCTCAACATTTCCTTTAGTCCTTCTGAGCTCTAGGTGAAGTCCTTGACTTTGCTTCTGATTTCACCAACTCAGTTTTCTGCAGTAGCCAATCTACCGTTTGCTGATCCTCCAGTTTTGTTACCCATTTAAAAAAAATGTTACTGCTTCATGACTGACTGTCATAGGCCCAATGTCTTGTTGACATCTGACAACCTTTTCCTGATTTTTATTGCCAATTTAATTTAGAGAGAGCTATTTCTTGTGACTTTTCAGAATAATGCCCTGCTTATCTTTTTAATTATGCAAGAGCCCAGTCCAGAAAACACTGTCGGCTTTCTGCTTCCTTGAGTCTTTTGTTTTAAATTGCTACCCAAGACCTCCACATGAGCACTCTGCCTTATTGTCTCTCTCTTTATCTCCGTGTAAGTGATCCAAGCCTTTTGATTTTATGTAAGAATGTTCCTTAAATCTAGCCTCTGTTCAACAAATTCGCTGTCATTCTTTCAGTCTAGACCCTTGGTCTAAATTATTTGCCATCAGCCTCTCCATCTTCAAATCCAAGTTTCAGGTCCCCCCAGAGCTTGCATCCTAAGAGGCATGCTACCTGGACAGCCCTTGGCCGAAACTGTCTATTCCTGGGTAGACGCTTGGTGCAGCAGGTTAAATCGCACCTTGGACACCCACACCCCATGCGGGAGTGCCTGGTTTGAGTCTCAGCTGCTTCACTTCCAATCCATACCTGTGGATGATGACTCAAGTGCTTGAGTCCCTGCTGCCTACCAGAGACCCAGACTTGAGTTCTAGCTTCTGGTTGCAGCCTGGCCCAGCCCTGACTGCTGTGGGAATTTGGGAAGTGAACTAGCAGATGGAAGATCTCTCTCCTGGAAGATCTCTCTCCTTCTGTCTGTCTTTCCCTATCACTGCCTTTCAAATCAAATGAAAATATTTTTTTTTTTAATTTCTACGGTAGAAAAATTAAAAATAGGAGCTGGGGCCAGCATCACAGAGCAGTGTGTAAAGCCACAGCCCATGATGCTTTCCCAAATGCCAGTTCTTGCCCTGGCTGCTCCACGCTCATGGCCTGGGACAGCAGTGGAAGATGGCCCAAGTGCTGGGGTCCCTGCACCCATGTGGGAGATCTGGAGGAAGCTCCTGGCTCCTGGATTCAACCTGGCCCAGCCCTGGCCATTGCAGCCATCTGGGAAGTGACTCAGCAGATAGAAGATCTCTCTCTGTCTAACTCTTTCAAATAAATAAACGAATATGATTTTCAACAACCCTATGCTATGGAGTACAAATGAGCTGAAGTGTCCACTAATGGGAATTTAAAAGGACATAGGTTCAAAATCCTGCTTGCAATCCTATAATCTGTGAACGTTTTAAAAACAGAGATGTGAAACCTACCCTATTTACTCAGCCACTCAGGGCCTCGGCGGTCAGCCCCCGCGGCAGTACTGTGCAAAGCCCTCATCTGGCCGCAAGGCCACCGTGGGAAAGTACACTCGAAGGGCCAGTCTAAAAACGCCACACCCTGAACTGCACAGAACCACAAAAACCTTCCCAAAGGAGGAATCGCAAGTTTCAGTAAACTTACCTAAGTGAGTTCATCTCTGACTTCTGATGAGATGAGTCACCGGCCACATGGCAAAGCTTTTGGGCTTGGAGTTTTGATTTGTTCTCTAATGAGTCTATTTTTTCTTTCATTAGTAACACTTCAGATTTTAATTCATATTTTTCATCTTCAAGCTAAAATTTAGATTAAAAAAAATTAATAGGTACGTATTTTTATTTTGCCAAGTAGGCACTTGTAATAATATTTCTAGAAGAAATATATTATCTTTAAGTCCTGCATGTCATTTTCTCTTTTCCTATCAGTGAAGTAAAAGAAGAGAGAAAAAAGTAAAAACTGAAAAGAACATCTCTGCTATACCAACAAAACAAGAAGGGAAGCTACCAACAGAGAAACTTCTGAAAATCACAGCAGAAAATCCTGTAACCCAAACACAAAATGGGCAAGACTGAAGGCGGAAACTAACTGAAGGAGGAAACTAAAGTTTCCCTGAAGGGCATAAAATATAACTTGACCTAATGTAAAAAACACCTATGTTTCTGGGTAGGAACACAATATTCTAAACATATTAAAATTTCCTCGATTTTAATTTCAATGAAATGGCAACACAAACTCCAATGGGGGTGCCTTAAATTTTATTCCAAAATTCATTTAGGAGAAAAGAGAAGTTAAAAAACAGGAAAAAATCTGGGGGAAGAAGAATGCAGATGGATTGCCTTGGGAGATACCAAAACACAAACCCGAAAGCTACCCCACCAGCAACAGCATCGTTTCACACTGAAGGAGGCAAGCAATCACGTGGAATCACGGGTGCTTTCGCAGCGTCCACTCACACCTCCTCCATGTTCCACCCAACCCCACTGTGGCAGCCCCGACTTTCCAGATGGTGCTCATGTCCCTGAGGAGGCAGAGCTGACCCCAGCTGAGAACCGCTGACCCACAGCAACCACACAAGCAGGCCACTGTGAAGATGCTCAATGCACAGATACCAAGTAGAGGGACAGGGTCGCGGCAGGCACAAGGACACTGTTCAAAATCAGTACTGATGCTCCTCAATAAACCCACTGTAAGCTGAAGAGCTCGTGAGTCAAGGCCACATGTAACACACCTCCCTACAGAACACCCTCGGCTTAGCAACCAGGACACTGCAGAGGGCCCACTGTTTCCCTTGGTGATCCCAGGGCTGACCGGCAGCCGCTGTTGCCCTACCTGAGCCATGAGAGGATGCCATGGCATAAGGTTAGCTTGAGGAAAGCCCAAATTTCAAAGTCATGGTCCTATTGTTTCTGCATCATCATAAGGTTGAAAATCTAGTTGAACTTTCTTGAGTTGAGGTTCTATATATACACTGGGATTCTCAGACTCCAGGTACCTCCTACCTCTTTCTAAAAAAAGTTTTCTTAGAAACAAAAAAAATAACCAAAAATAAAATAAAAACCCACAAACATACAATTAAAAAACTAAAATCCATAAAGGATTAGGCAACAAAGTCGTAATTTCCCAGAAAGTAAACAAAAGCCAAAATGATGATAAGAACTTATGGAATCTCTTCAGGAAGTCTAAAACCATCAGTAAAAAAGTTCTAGAGACACAGAATACTGGCGGAGAGGGGAAGATATTACTCAAGAAATTGAAAACAAGACAATGATCAAATCCTCAAACTTTTGCAAAACAATAATGTCTGAGAACTAGGAAACAGGACAGCACCTGACATCCGACAAACATTTAAAGACAATGTGGATAACATTCGAAATTTTTAGTGAAAAATAGCAGTAGCACAAAGGACCAAACCAAGACAGAAGAAATCATGGGACTGGACACAGGGCGGGAGGGAAAGCTGCAAGCCCACAGTGGCAGGAAGACGGAAAGTCGAGGCAGGGCGTCTCCCTGTCTCCACTCCTCCCACCTCGGGAAGTCACCAGGGGTGCTCAGGTCGGTACAGGCAGAGCCCGCAGCACCTGTGCGCTGGTCAGGAACAGGGCGGTGAAGGGAGCTGTTTCTGTGCATGAAAAGCCTTCCAGAACGCTGTGGGTGCATCTATACCAACAAGCGTTCATGTATGGTAACTACAAACAAAGTGAACACCTGGTTTCCGTCACCCCAGCTTAACAAAACACTGCACGAGTCCCTGGCTCTGCTGCGGAACAGCCCCGCCTCACACTGCCCTCCCTCTGCCCGCAGGAGCCACCTTCCTTGCGTTTCTTTCGCGTTCCCTATTTGTACAAATCCCCAAGCAACACGATGACTAGTTGTGCAGGAGTCTGATTTTACGTGAGTGGAATCACACTGCTGGTTTCTTCAGCACCTTGCTCTTCTGGGGCCACCTGCATGCACAGGAGTCATGAGCCATGTTGCTGTCAGCGGCGCCTACTCACTGTATCATTCCACTGCGTGAATTACCATCACTCATCTACTTTGCATGCAACTGACATCTCACTGATCTTGTTTTCTGGCCGGGAGTAAATATTTATGTTTGTGGGCCCTGAGGACTGTCACCTTACTGCACTGCAGCACCAAAGCACCACAGAAAACCCATCAACAAATAAGCACTTACAAAACGGACAGGAGGCTGCATTTGGCCCGGGGCCACATGTGGGGAGCAGCCTGGACTGAGTTACTGGAATTAGGACTTATTCTATGCATCTGCTCTCCCACAATATGGCGCTGGGAGAGAAGTAAACAGCTTCCGCACAGCTGCCTCCAGTTCAGCCAATAAACTGTAGGACTTGCTACTGATTGGAGGAGAGCAGCGTACTCGGCGTGTGGGCAGCCGAGTTGGGATTGGCAGAGGAGGACTATAAAGGAGGAGAGAGACGGCATGTGCCAGGAACATCTAAGGGGAACATCTAAGGGGAACACCTGTGCAGCCCCCGAGAGAGCCGGCCGGCGGTGTGCTGCTCCCCTGCGGAAGTGGGGAATGTGGCCAGGGGGAACTGCCCTTCCACGGAGGTGGAAGGGATAGTAGCCAACCCGGGAAGAACCAGCAGCAAACCCGGGGAGGGCCGAGCAGACGAAAGAACAGCGCAGGGTCCTGTGTCGTTCCTCCACGAAGAGGGGGAGCGACAGCCACAGTCTTGCTGGGCCCTACCTAGGCTGCAAACCTAGAAAAGGAACTGTTGGCTCACAGGTTCTGCCTTTGCTAGAAAAGACTAGATTGATCTATGATGGGCAAAGTTTGTACCCCCAGGGGCCACAAGTATTCGCTAATACTTGCTAAAACTGTGAATTTCTGGTGCCTCACAGTTAGAAAATTTCACTGTGCTTTTCATTCATATTTCCCCAATTACTGTGTCAGAACATTTTTTTTTTATAATTTCCAAAGTACAGCTTATGGATTACAATGGCTCCCCACCCCCATAACTTCCCTCCCATCCCCCGCTCTCTCTCCCCTTCCATTCACATCAAGATTCATTTTCAAATATCTTTATATACAGAAGACCAGTTTAGCACATATTAAGTAAAGATTTCAACAGTTTGCACCCACATAGAAACACAAAATGCAAAATACTGTTTGAGTACTAGTTATAGCATTAAATCACAATGTACAGCACATTAAGGACAGAGATCCTACATGAGGAGTAAGTGCACAGTGACTCCTGTTGTTGACTTACCAAATTGACACTCTTGTTTATGGCATCAATAATCACCCTAGGCTCTTGTCATGAGTTGCCAAGGCTATGGAAGCCTTTTGAGTTCACTGATTCTGATCATATTTAGGCAAGGTCGTAGTCAGAGTGGAAGTTCTCTCCTCCCTTCAGAGAGAGGTACCTCCTTCTCTGATGACCTGTTCTTTCCACTGGGATCTCACTCGCGGAGATCTTTCATTTAGTTGTTGTTGTTTTTTTTTTCCCCAAGAGTGTCTTGGCTTTCTATGCCTGAAATACTCTCATGAGCTTTTCAGCCGGATCCGAATGCCTTAAGGGCTGATTCTGAGGCCAGGGTGCTGTTTATGCTGTTTAGGACATCTGCCATTCTATGAGTCTGCTGTGTATCCCACTTCCCATGTTGGACTGTTCTCTCCCGTTTTTATTCTATCAGTTAGTATTTGCAGACACTAGTCTTGTTTATGTGATCCCTTTGACTCCCGGTCCTATCATTATGATCAACTGTGAACAGTAATTGATCACTTGGACTAGTGAGATGGCACTGGTACATGCCACCTTGATGGGACTGAATTGGAATCCCCTGGTATGTTTTAACTCTACCATTTGGGGCAAGTCCAACTGAGCATGTGCCAAATTGTACATCTCTTCCCTCTCTTATTCCCACTCTTATATTTAACAGGGATCACTTTTCATTTAAGTTTCAACACTTAAGAATAATTGTGTATTAGTTACAGAATTCAACCAATAGTATTAAGTAGAACAAACAAAAAAATACTAAAAGGGATAAAGTATTAAGTAGTTCATCAACAGGGCAAGGGCTGATCAAGTCACTGTTTCTCATAGTGTCCATTTCACTTCAACAGGTTTTCTTTTTGGTGCTCGGTTAGTTGTCACAGATCAGGGAGAACATATGATATTTGTCCCTTTGGGACTGGCTTAGTTCACTCAGCATGATGTGTTCCAGATTCCTCCCCATGTTGTTGCAAATGACCAGATTTCATTGTTTTTGACTGCTGTATAGTATTCTATAGAGTACATGTTCCATAATTTCTTTATCCAGTCTACTGTTGATGGGCATTTAGGTTGATTCCAGGTATTAGCTATTGTGAATTGAGCTGCAATAAACATTAAGGTGCAGAACGCTTTTTAGTTTGCCAATTTAATTTCCTTTGGGTAAATTCCAAGGAGTGGGATGGCTGGGTCGAACGGTAGGGTTATATTCAGGTTTCTGAGGAATCTCCAGACTGACTTCCATAGTGGCTTAACCAGTTTGCATTCCCACCAACAGTGGGTTAGTGTCCCTTTTTCCCCACATCCTCTCCAGCATCTGTTGTTGGTAGATTTCTGAATGTGAGCCATTCTAACCCGGGTGAGGTGAAACCTCATTGTGGTTTTGATTTGCATTTCCCTGATTGCTAGTGATCTTGAACATTTTTTCATGTGTGTTGGCCCTTCGGATTTCCTCCTTTGAAAAATGTCTATTGAGGTCCTTGGCCCATCTCTTAAGTGGGTTGTTTGTTTTGTTGTTGTGGAGTTTCTTGATCTCTTTGTAGATTCTGGTTATTTATCCT